CATCATTACGAGAACCAGGTGTTCCAATAGATACATTTGTAAATATTTTTGTTGCAGTACAAATTCCTATCAAATAAAAAACTTATATTATTATGAGAAAGTTATGCTATTAATGGCAAAAATGTACTATCTTGTTTGAGCATAAAATCTCACCTTGAAGTGTAATAGAGTAGTTGCATGTGCGATCTATGTAGCTAGAATGCTGGTTTGCTGGAGGTATGACTTGAATGTGGCAACCATCGATGGCTCCAATGACACCTGAAAAGATGGCAAAGAACAATAAGACATGACAAAGTTCCTGCATGAGGGGCATTATCTTTAAAAAAAATTTCAAGTGATATAGCCAAGCCATACAGAGTACTCACCAGGAAATCCTGCACGTGCTTTAAATTGCCTGCTCAGTACCACACACTCACTCTCTTTGGGCCAAACAATAAATGTATCTCTAAGATCACACAGTATGTGAATGATAGTTCTGGCTTCCTTAAAAACTGTGCTTTGAGCCACAGCAAATCGGTCACCTATATCAGACAAAGGCACATGCTTCCCCAGATAACATAATGTCATCAGGACAGCTTTCTCAACCGTCACCAAAGGTGCATCACCTCTCTGGCACTTGACAGGATAATAAGGTCGGACCGTGTTGACAAGGGCCCAATATGTGTTCTTCATCATCCTGTACATACAACCAAAATAGGGAATCCACTTAACCTAACAAGAGTCAATAAATGCTCCTCCCCCAAAAAACATCGATGCATGATAAGTAAAAAATGTAGCAGTAACGAAGCTGATTTGTGCTTTCTTACCTAAACTGTTTATGAAAATCTTGATCAATGTAACGGGTCACCCATTCTTCGTTAGCAATTATTCCTATTTTGAAGTGAGTTATTCTATCTTTTAGAAAGGAAAGGGTAACCCTGCTTGTGGGTTGTAACTGATACATATTAACAATATGTGATATATCATCAATCACTTCCATCATATAAAATAACATTACAGATAACCTCTCCATTTGGATCCGTCATGACACATGTAGCAACAAAACTGCTACCGCGCTAACGCCTTTGCGCACTGTCTGCCCGAAACGTTTTTATTCTTGGTTACTATTTGTGACGTCATGTCTTCAAACGCGAGCCAACCGCTTGTAGTCTGGTAGCAGCAACGAAAACGCACCTTTAGTTCACAATTTCGGGTCATGAGCCAGGGCGCAGCAGTGGTAAAGTTATGGCGGATAACATGTGGTTATCGTTTACAACCATGGACCTAAGAATCTCTTGACCGAGCACGAAGTGGGAGAACGGGCAAGGGGGCTGTTAAATTTGCGGTAAGGGGGGCGAGAGTGCTCTCCTTTTCTGTCCTCTTGGTATCTCTTTCTACAAGAGGTCACATTCGGCTTGATGACGAATGTGACCGAAGATAGTCGAAGTTTGTGTATAGTCTATACATAATAATTTCTCGACGGGAACATGGACCTAAGAATCTCTGGACTTCAGAAGTTAGCAAGTATAGACTTGTCTAGTCTTTCGGGAATCATCGGATATACGGCGGAAATACCCGACGGTGACCTCTTGTAGAAAGAGACAGTACTATCCTCCCCTTACCGCGAATTTAACAGCCCCCTCGCCGTATGCTCGGTCCAGAGATTCTTAGGTCCATGTTTACAACAGTTTGCGACGACTGGCTGCGACTAGCTGCGACCAGCTGCGACCAGAGGATCCAAACGATCCAAATCTCTGTATTTTAACGGTGACGGAAATTGTGAACAATCAAACTTCCGTTAAAATAACTTTACCACTACAGTGCTGCGCCCTGGCTCATGACCCAAAGTTGTGAACTAAAATACAGAGAGTTTGGATCCCCTGGTTCGGTGCGTGCGGCGCAGGCGCGGTATGTTCGGTGTCGGCGCGGTGCGGGGTCTTCTCGCCGGTGACAGCTCGTGTTCGCGGTTAGGTCGGGTGTTGTGTATCCGAGCCGCTCAACACGTGACGAGGATTACAGGCTTTGCTCAGCTCGCTCTAGCCCACGGAGAGGATTGTCACTCAGCTCGTGACACGGGTCAGAGAGGATCTCCCGCTCAGCTCGCGGTTCTCAGGTTGACGTTCAGCGCACGTCGTGATCGCAGGCGGTTAGGTTCTCGTTCAATACACGAGTTTCGGAGGCGGCTCGGACTCAGCTCGTCATTGCCGTAGGCAGACCTGCTCAACTCGCTGGTCGGGATCTGGTGTCTCGGTGGATTTTTCAGTGGCTTATATACCAATCGGTTGTAGGTGCGGGACGGAGTGGTGCCGGGAAAAATGTGCGCGGTGGGGAAGGTACTTATTGTTTACGGCACGTTACAGGGGTATTAAAATGTGTTTATGAATTTACTTATAAATTTTATTTTCCCACTAACTCTGATAATTTGTATAAAATTAATAGAACATCCAACTTTTCATTATCTTCTATTTCGTTTAAAATTGTTAATATTTTGTCCTCTTTTTCTTTCAGGGCATTTCGTTTAGTTCGTGCCCAAAATTTCGGATGCCTCGCGAAACTCCGAACACGCTTTTGATGCTCAGAAAGGTAAACTGCAAATAATATTGCATTTAAGAATAGTAAGAAGATTGTGTGTGTGGAAACAATGTTTGCAAAATTGGATATTCACAAAATACATACCTAAAAACTTTACAGCTGTCTTGTGCTTTTTCAGGCTTGGCCGAAGTTCTCGGTTGTGTCTTTCGGAGACATTATTAGTTCTGTGTATATGTTGAAAAACACAGAAGGAATCGGGCTTAAAGCCGTTTATCCATGTCTCTTTATAATAATGGAAAAATGACTGCAAATACGTGCAATCACTGAATATAACTGTAGAAATTAATTCGAAGCTTTCTTTTATTAACGTGATTGGCAAATATGCTAAAAATATCAACAATTTTGTTGCATCCCAACCCAATTCTTTGTCACTTTTTAATATCCCATGTTTTTCAGCATTATGTACTAACGCCTGTAATGAGAAATTAACACGATTAAAATTACGTGCATTTTATGCTAACAAAATGTATTGTTATTTGCTTTTATCTGACTGTAATGGAAGAAGCAGCCGGTAATTTTAGCGCTAGGAAAAACTATATGTAAAGCATTTCGTTCGGCTGTTTCAAAGTCATATATTGCTGTGTCTGGTATAATATTCAGAACATTTGTAACTTTTCTTAACACATCTACATAATTTTGTGTAGTGCGTCCTTTCATTATGGCATACACAATTGGAAATGTCTGAACAAAATTTAAAAGCAATTATATTTATATAGAATATAGTGCTTATTGTGATTAAAGGAACTATAATTACTACAAGAATAAACTAATGAATTAATTGTTTTGATTACTCTATTATCGTGTCTAATGAAAATTGTCCACAATTGACTATTAGTATTCTTCAGTTGGGGTACAGTGGCAAACGTCCCATCAACAAAAATGGTAATTTTTCCGTTAATATTATTTATAATTGATTCTGATAAAGTTTTGTCAATAAAAATAACTGCTTTTATTGCATTATTTTTAATGACAAACTCTACGAAAAATGAATCTTCATTTATCTTCAGAAATTGCTTCCAATTTTCATTTTCAAAACAACGCAATTCGTCGATATTTCGTGGAATCTGTCCAATATTTTTCTTTCGGTAACGTTCTATTGATTTTTCCACGTTTGCAATATTAGTCATATCTAGTAAATGATCGTATCTAGAAAAAGGTATACAAATAATTACGTATTATAAATATAACAGGTAGTCTTCATTCCAACAATTTACTATATACTATTTTATCGTTTCTAACTCACTTTTTACTATTCTTAAATGCAATATTATTTACAGTTTACCTTTCTGAGCATCAAAAGTGTGTTCGGAGTTTCGCGAGGCATCCGAAATTTTGGGCACGAACTAAACGAAATGCCCTGAAAGAAAAAGAGGACAAAATATAAACAATTTTAAACGAAATAGAAGATAATGAAAAGTTGGATCTTCTATTAATTGCATACAAATTATCAGAGTTAGTGGGAAAATAAAATTTATAAGTAAATTCATAAACACATTTTAATACCCCCTATATATGTTTCTTTTAATTACACAGGTTTACAAGGTTTTTATCACAAAAGAAGTAAGAGGTTAACCCGAAGGAATTCGGTACGCTGAATTCAAATCTGAACTCAGAATGGCACTATCACGTCAGGATTTTGAGATACTCTAACCTAAAAGTGCAAAAATGGCTGTTCTAGGGCATTATTGGAGTTCACTCCTGGTTGCAGAGAATTTTACCGACAAAAACTAAACAAAATACCGTGAAGTACAAGTCTTGCCCTTTAATTTCCATTTTGAAACATCCAAATAGGATTTTGTTTCACCGAGATACAGCAGATTAAAATTTTTACTGCATACAGAAAATCAAATAAAGCGATAATGTTGATTCATTTGAAATACCTGAAATTTTTTGTTTTGAGCAATTCTGGGAAAAAGAGTGTAGTTCAAAGGGTCCCGAGAGTCGCTGCTCACGAATCTGGAACTCAGATTTCCAAAATTAAACATGGCGGATCCAATATGGCAGACGATAATCCAGAAAATTTGAAATTAGAAAAAAATGGCGCACTCTGCGCAAAATATCAAATATAAAAGGTGTCTTGCGATTTTTCGCTAGAATTCGTTGTTTCTGAGTAAAAAAATTCAGAAAATTGCAATTTGTGTGCGCAATTGACTGGATGGCGCATTCCATTAGCGGTTGGCATTCTAAGAAATTTCTTTTCAACGGTTCTTTTCATGATAATTGGTGGGTCATTTCGTTAGCGGTTGGCATTCTGAGAAATTTC